ATACAATATTGAATAGAAGTGGTGACATTTTGCTTCCTTGCCTGGTCCCTGTTTGCATGGAAAATGCTTTTAGTCTTTATCCATTGAGAATTATACTGGCTCTTGTTTTTACATATATGCTTTTTTTTCCCTGTTGTGTACCATCGAATTGGACCCGACTGGCACAGGAGGAGATTGCCCCTCCTTCTCCAGCAGAGCATCCAGTGGGCATATATACTTTTAAACTATGTTGAGGAAATTCCCTTCTATTCCAATTTTGCTGAGTGTCTTTATCAGGAAGGGGTGTTGGATTTTGTTAAATGCCTTTTCTTCCTCAATTGCTAAGACCATGTTTTCTTATTATTTTCTTTGTTAATGTGGTGAATTTTGTTGGTTGTTTTTCTTATGTTGAACCATCCTTAAATACCTGTTATGAATCCCACTTGGTCATAATGCATTTTTTTTTTTAATGTGCTTTTGCATTCTATTGAGTAGGATTTTTTTTTAAGAATTTTTGCATCTATATTCATGAGAGAGATTGGTCTGTAGTTTTCTTTCTTGGTAATGCCTTTGCCTGGTTTTGGTATTAGGGTTATGCTTGTTTCATGACTCTGGGAATGTTCCTTCTTTTTCTATTTTTTGGGAATACTTTAAGTAGAATTGATGATAGATCTTCTCTGAATGTTTGGTAGAATTCAGCTGTGAAGCCATCTGGTCCAGGACTTTTCTTATGGGGAAATCTTTTTATGACCTGTTAATTTCTTCTTTTGTAATGGGTCTATTCAAGTGTTCTACACTTGTGTGTCATTCTGGGTAGCACATGTGTTTTAAAGAATTTGCCCATAATCCTCTATGTTTTCAAGTTTATCAGAGTATAGCTTTTCATAGCATTCTGATTTTATCAATTTAATTTCATCTGATTTTGTTGTGTTGTTACCTCTGTCTTTTCTTAATTGACTTATCTATTTCTTCTCTTTTTTTTCCTTTTAAGTTTGCCAGTTATTTGTCAATTTTATTGACCCTTTTGAAAAACCAGCTCCTGATCTAATTGATGGTTTCAGTTGTTTTTCTGTTTCTTTCTCATTGATTTCAGCTGTAGGATTAGATTGTTTTCTTTTTCTATTTGATGAAGGTATTGAGTTAGATCATGGATATTTTTTTGTAATTATTCCTTTTCCCCCCCCTTTTTTTGTAATTATTCCCTTTTGTAAATTTTATACTGGTTTATTTACAAAGTTCGAATACATTATTTTTCACACCAGATTTTTTCCATTCTTTCTCCACCCCCACCCATTCTTACCCCTCTGCTTCTGTGCTCTTACCCCTTGGATCCTTGTACTCATTCTACAATAAAGGTCCTATACAGTATTTATTCTTATGGGACTGAGTTAATTCACTCAGCACAATGCTTTCCAATCCCTCCCAAGTTAGGTAATATTTACAAAGTCATTGCTCCTGATAGCTATATAGTATTCCATTGTGTGAGTGTACCATAATGTCTCAGTCCATTCCATTGGAGTTCCAGCTTTTGATTTTGATTCTTTTTCTCTCCATTCCTTTGATATGTCTCTTTAAGGCAACATATTGATGGGTTGGTGTTGTTTTTGTTTTTGTTTTTTTTAATCCATTCTGCTACTCTTTTTCTCTTATTAATCCATTCACAGTAAGTGTGGTTATTGTCAGACCCGGTTTCACTGTTGCCATTTTGCTGTGTTTCTTTTTCTTTTGTTTCTGGTTACTGTGATCCCTCTACTTTCCTTTCGTATCTGTGTAGAGGACTTAGCAGGCTGCTAGGGGAGCTCTGGTGGCCTAATGGCAAGGAGCTGCAAGTACAATCCCAGAGGCGAACGGTTCGAATCCACCAGTTGCTCTGCCGGGGAAGGAGGGACAATCTCCTCCTGTACCAGTCAGATCTGATTTGATGGTACACGCACACAAAAATAATAAAATTTAAAAAAAAAAGCAGGCTGCTGCTTCCTTAACATTATGTAAGTCTTTTGTTAGTAGATGTTAGGCTGTTTTAACTATATAATGTCCCAGGGTTTGGCAAAGTGGGACGAGTGTTGCCCTCCAGAAACTGAATCTCTACCCTGCCTCTTCTGCTTGCTCTTAAGAAGTCCCAAGCTCTCTCTATATGTTGCAGGTAGACAGTTCAAGTTCAAAATACCTACATGGCAGAACAGAGGAGTCTCTTGCCCTCCAGAGACCATGGCTCTACCATGCCTCTTCTGCTTGTGCTTAGGAAGTCCCAAGCTCTCCTCATGATGTAGATCGACATCAGTGTTCAAAGCCAAAGTACCTGAATACCTTTATTATCTTTTCCCTTTACTTTAAGTATACAGTTAAAATAGGTTTACAAACTTTGTTGTAAGAGCACCCTAGAAAGATGAGCAGTCTCCTCCCGTGAGATTTATTGCTTCTGAAATCTCACTGGAGGGTCAGCTATAGGTAGATTCTGACTCCATAGTACAAAACACACAGTATCTTTTTATAGTCCATAGGATCTGTTCTGTGGATTTTCCTTTGTTTGTTTAATGCCTAACATTGGTAATTTATGCTTTTTCTTTTTGTCCTTGTTCAGCACACTAGGAATTGATCTTTTTGAACAACCAGCTTTTGGCTTTGTTAATTGTGTTTATATGATTCCCCCTACCCTCTTTCCTGCTTCATTAAATTCTGATATTTTACCATTTTCTTTTGTTTAATATGATTACTTCTCTTTCCTGTGTATTTCTTGAAATGGATGTTTAATTGATTTTCAGTCTTTTCTTACATGTTATTAAGTCTTAGACTCTTCTGTTCTCTGCTTCATTCCCAGTGCTTTATATATTAGAATTTCCCTTGTAATTTTAAAGAAATGCATTTCTAGTTTCCATTGTGATTTCTCCCTGTGACTTATTAGCTATTTAGAAGTAAAACTATTCCATTTTCCAGTTGAATTTATATTT